AACAGACTAAGCTGCGTACTCCACTGCCCCATACAGGTCTCGAGGAAGTTTCGAATTGTACTATCGATCTTGTACAGCTCGAGGACCCTCTTCAACCACGTATGGGGAACCGAGTCAAACGCTTTTTTGTAGTCTATCCAGGCTGCAGAGAAGTTGCGTCGGTTGCGTTTGACCTGTTGGGCCACGACCGCATCGATCAGGAGAAGCTCCTTTGAACCGCGGCTCCCGCCCCTGCATCCATTCTGAGTGTCCACCATGATATGATTGTGCTCAACGTGAGCATCAATCTTAGCCTTTAGAATGGATGTCAGTGCTTTGTAGGTGGTACACAAGCACGTTATGGGGCGGTATTGTGATGGATCCGCGGTATTGGTGGACTTTGGAGCTAAGTGAGTGACCCCAGTTATTAAGAAGTTTGGGAGACTTCGCTGTTCTAGGGCGTCTTGGAATTGGCGGGCCAGGAATGCGTGGCATGAGCTGAAACTCTTCAACCAATAGTGGTGCAGTCCGTCAATCCCTGGAGTTTTCCAGTTCGGAGCTTTACGGACCGCAGCCAACACGTCATCCGACTCTATGGTGATGGGGTTCATCGCATCTATCGATGCACACGCTTCCTCTATAGGCGCCATCCATTCGCCCTCTATGTGCTCCACAGGCCGGGACCAGATGTTCCGCCAAAAGGCAATGACATCTGTGACATTCGGTCCTTGGCCAGTGGAGGGGCCAGCTCGTGTCTCCCATGTACGATAAAACTTCTTTTGGTCACTCCCAAAGAGACGATTCTGGCGAAACCTTGCCGCTCTCTCCGAGTACCGCCGTATCCGACTTCCCCAAGCCGCAATTTTCTGTTTCAGGTCATCGACGCGCTCCGACACTTTTCGCATTAAGGTGGGGTCTGCAAGACTGAAATCTATCCCCGCCATTGCCATGTGTACGAAACGCATCACCCTCGGCCTCGTATTGCCTGACCTGAAACTAATCAGTTTGCCGATGAGGACTCTGGTCTCAGCAATACGTTTCTCAATCCTCTTACGCCACGCCGGAGTCTCGCTGTGCCGGGCATTGGTATGCCGTTCAGCTCTCCCAGCGGGCACTTTGGCGCCGATGAATCGACAGACCGCCAATGCGGCGCCAAATAGGATCGAGTTGGTATCACTGAGACTGCCGCTTTCTTCCAAGTATGGAAGAAGCATTTGGCTTACTGCCTCAACGACATCCCGATTTTTACGACTTAGGGGTATCCTCGGGATCTTCGGCCTCTCCTCAAGTGGGAGCTCGCGAATTATTATTATTATTATTATTATTATTAAAGAACTTAAATCGTTTTAGTATTCTGCGATAATACATTTTCTGTCTTCGTTTGACCTAATTGATGGACAAATTTATAGTAATATGTTATTGATAACAAATATTTATGTTTGTGGAGAAGATTGGGAAAATATACATATTAAACCGAATTCAAATAAAAAATGTAACGGACAATTTAATGATGACCCAGGAATTAAGAATGGAAAATATCAAACTTCTGAGTCTGATTCAATAGTTCAAATTAAGAAACGCGGCAAGAACTATATAGAGAAGATTATACCACAAAAAAGGTCCCAAATAAATCGATTTTATTTACTCATTAAAACTGTCGGGTAACTACAGCATTCTTGATATTATAAATTCATTCGCAGTTGCTATAATCGTAAGTTTGTCATATATTCCAATTTATTTATTACTGATGTTCTCTTATTATAAACTGACACAATATATAATGAACCTCTCATTTTGTAAAAATACGTTTTGATGACTCATTATGCGAAAAAACCTTAAAATTAACACGAAAAAATTATTGAGGCTCGTTTAAGTATATCGAGTACTTTCAAATTTATACGGAACCCTCAATGCTTGAAACCTACATGCGCTACTGTTGTTATTTAATATTATAAGGTAGTGGTAGAGTCATTTACTCTAAAGAAATTTGCTGGTGGAAGATTTATATTTTTCTGCGCAATGTCACCTGAGCATCCAATCATTCATTCACTCATAACTCATAATCCAGTGGTAACCAGTGACAGGAATATGTAGTGCTTATTAGCCTAAACTTCAAAGAACAGAGACAAGAAACGGAGACTTCCTAGGACTAATTTTAAAAAAAATACCTACCACTCGTTTAGGACATGTTTTGCCTGACTAGAAGAACAAGCGAAAGAAACTTACCAGCTCTTCATCAGAAATAACGACATTTACCTCAAATAATGTTATTAAAAAAACAGTACGCATTTCAATAATAATAAAAACAAGTAACAATTTCTGTAGGACATGGCATAGGTGTATAAAATTAGTCAGTGCGGAATTCTTCCAGTTCAATTTAAAGTAGACAAAGTAAATAATGATAGCTTGAAACCAAAAAATAAAACTAATCATTTTTAACAGACTTCAAAATCGAAAGTGTACTTTATATACTATGTTCGACGGCGATGTGTGTTTTTTATTTATGTTCACCGATATTTCCGCCAATTGTTGACCGATTTTCAAAATTCTTTTTTATTCAACAGCTTAATTGACCAGGGCGGTCATATTTCAATTTTATCGAAATCGGATTAATATTTTTCCTTTTATAACAAAACAAAATACGCTTTTCATCATACTCGTATATCACCTAAATATTTCGATGATATATAAACTTTGAAAAAATTTTAAAGGTGAAAAAGCTAACTGATAGTTAAAATCTATCGCGTTAATACCCGTCTAATACAATTTAGTTGATATGTTTATTTCAGTTAAAAAAAAGATAGCGAATTTGTATTCATTAAAAATTCAAAAGTAGGATTTCGATGTAAAAAATGTATGTATATTTAATAGGGAACTAGGTTTGTTAATCAATTTCTTCTTGAATTGTGAACCAAAGACTTATAAATCGGTCCAATAGTTTGGAGCCTATATAATGCAAATAAACACGAAATCACATCTTTCCCCTTTATAATATGAGTATAGATTATTGGAAAAATTATGTCGAGCAAATAAACAAAATCTCCTTTCTAAGACTTTCATTATGTTGAATATGTTTATAGATATTTAATATTAATATTTTTAATCTCAATATTAATACCACTAGAAAGCATGAAATAAAAACTTTTTTCAAAAAACCTGCTTCAAACTTAAAAAAGTGATAAATAATATTTATCTGAAAAGCGACTTTTTCAAGAAAACTCAATTATTAACGTAGATTATTAACTAAATGATTAGAAAAAAGTTTTATGGTTCTGTACCGCAAAAACTAATAACGGAACACTTATAGAATTGCTCACATGTTGTTTGTTTGCTTCAGATTTAATTTAATTTTATATCAACAGATAACCATTAACAATTTGGAGTTTATTTAATATAAAACATCCTGATAAGATGCTGTAAAATCATTCAACGATTGAAATGTGTTTCTATTGTACACAATTGAGCATGATAGGACCATTTCAAACATAGGTACAAAATTTAGAAAGCAATTCTTAATAACTACAAAGGCGGCTTATAAATCCATAAATTATTTAACCCGCTCGATTTGTAAATGGAGTTCTTGCGTTTGTCGTCGTTAAAAATTACATTTCGATATTTCGGATTCGGTTTTAGTTTAAAAAAAAACTATTTTTTATAAATATTTGCTATTTTATCATTTTTTGTGACAAGATGCCATTGCTTGTATTTTTCTTTCATTTGTCTTATTCACGGCCCAGCATTCAGTCTGATCCATATATTTCGACACGTTTTATCACGGATTTGTAGATTCGTATAGTCTCTCACACAGCGACTCAATTAATGTGGTTTCATACTGTTTAAGGTTGATCTTATAATTTGTGTATCTGTGCTGTTCAGATCCGTGGATCCTTTTATTATCACAATAAGAATTAAATCTTAAAATAAAATACACAATTAACGATATACCTATAAATGTCAGGGACATAAGCAATACCAGACGTAGGCACTGGCTTAAAACAAAATCACTAAACAAATACCGTCTGCCGGGGAGAATTAGCTTTAAAAAAATACTTTGTTTAATCAATTTTTCATTCACAATGCGTACTGCTTAATATATTTTATGAAAAATGCTTAAAATCCACCGGCCCACCCAGAGATGGAAACGTTTATATTAATCGAAAGTTTAAAAAAGGTATGTAAAGATATTTATTTCGCTGTTTGGATGGATTGCCTGAACGTCGATAAAAGTACACTCACTAGTAGCGAAAAGTAACAAGTGCTTGAAAAATTCGGCAGTTCTGTTGGTTCCTAGGTAACTCAGTGGTTACACCAGTAGCCCGGATTACAAAAAAAAATTGTGGGTTCAAGTTGGGAATTGTAAAATAAGTTTTCGTCAGGCAAATATAATTTTAATCGATATCTAAATATGTTAGTAAATTATATTTTAAGGTAATTAAAACTCATTGTGCAGTAAAAAATCTTATTCGTCGTCATATAAACATTTTCAGTTCCACACTTTAGATTGAACAGTGCCCGTGGCGGTAAAAACGTAGAAAATATTTTTCTTTTATTTATTTACAATCAAACATTGTATTTACTTAAATTTGTACTTCCATTTAACGTAAAAATCACACTAGATATAACTGTGGACAATTAAAACGTTGAAACCAAATTTTACAAAGAAAGACAATATAACACTTTGATTTATAAAATGTTCATCATCTTTCAAAGGAGTATCATGTCTATGAAATTTACATAATATCTATTCAAACAAAATGTCCATAGTGTTATTTCCGTTTCACAATGTAGTTTATTTAATGATTTCAGTCTTATTTACATTAATCAAGGATCCTGTAAAAAAACTACAATATCAAAACCACTACATCATATTAGTAATAAAGTAATTTTATTTGAATAAAGGTAACTGTTTAATTCATTATTTAATAGCACCTTATTTGAGCACTATAACTTATTTGAAATCATATGAGAATGATGAACATTACATTGCCAAAATATTTATAACTTATTTGTATACTATAAGGGAACATTATGTTACAAATGAATATTCTACAAAAAAAAATCCTGACATATTTTCAAATTCCACAAATTTGCACGAGTTCTAGCGTTCAAAAAAATATTATGCTACTTATGCTTAAGAACATTTTAAGGTGTTATTGGAAAGTTGTTTAATTTGAACAAATAAGATCTAACCGCTGATTTGCACTGACCAAACATTTACAATAATACATGTACTTACTCAATTTCAACCTAAAAAGAGGATGTGATATACATATTTTATACCTCAATTTTGCAATGACAAAATGGAAACTATGGGTATTTAATAGTTTACAACAAATATTTAATTATAAATGTTTGACCAGTCACAGATTAATAATTAAGTGCCCGTCAGGTTATCTAAAAATATCAAATATCTCCTGTTCCTATTTCTTTGCAATTAAACATCAAAATTGATTACATAAACCTTCCTTTTTTATCGTAACCTCACGTGCTGTGGGTACCGCCAACAGTATCATTTGGAACAGTACTTAATCTATCAGTTCTTAAAGGCTCCATCCACAACAGAGGGGTCACTGACTCTGCCGGTGAACAGAAGTTGTCTAGTAGCTTCGTCTTGTATGAAAAACAAGAATGGCTTGTTGGCAAACACTTCTACTCTACTCTCGTCGTCTTCGCCGAATTTATTTACCAATGATATTTCTGTAACAGAAAAGAAACAAAACTTTATGACATGTCCCGAACAGTGAACAAAACATTTTTGAAAACCCTATTTTAAACAACGCCCTATTTTAAACAGCCTTCCAGGTATGGGACATAATTAGTTTAAAATATGCTGATATCGCTTTTTCTAAAAGATGATATCTTGTGCAAAACAAATCCCATATAACACCAAGAGACAGTGTGTCTTTCCACAAAACCATAACGAAGATTTGTAAACGTTACATTAATAGGGTCCGTTCTCAGAAATGATTCGAAATAAAGATATTATAAATATACTTAATCTAGATGTTCAAATTACGAATCATACACATGTTGTCACATTATTTTGCATCTTTCCTCCTAAATACATATTTAAACCAATTTTGTTTTAATGCTATGCTAATATTAGCCAAATAAAAATTAAATAATAGGCTCAATGGAAAAAACCGAAAAGATAGGATTTATGGATCGATTTTACGATTAATAAATTTCATTTTAACTATGAAAAAAATATATACAAAAATAGATATTGATACAATATGAAATCATCAAAAGATTTTTTCAATATAACTGCATTTGTTATTTTCTGTGAAATCAAACAAGCACATCTTTATTCTCGATGCGTATTTGCAGCAGAGATACAAGTCTTAACCCGTATAGATGACCCTTCGTTTCGCGTCGGTTCCAACTAGTAATCAATTACAAATTAACTTAATAGCACTAATTATGTGTAAGTATCAACCTGTAGCAGAGTAAGCGACACTGCCGAGTTCATTGACATCTACCCCGGACCGCTGCAGCACCTTGGAGACGCGCAGTCTCTGTGACAGGGTCTGCCCGCGAGCGATGCCCGGAAATGAAGCTGTATCTTCGAACGCTTGCCTGGCGCCCAACTAAAACATATAATATAAAATTAATAAATGTGAAAATGGTAAATGTTATGTTACTTAGTAAATTGTGAGAGGAGTTTTAAGTTACTGGAAATTTGACATTGCTTCGTAAGCTGACGTGATGCTTGTGTGATAACGGTATTTCTTTTTAATTTGTAAAACAAGTATTTGAATAAAATAATTATTCGAGATGATATAAATAACTGCATTAATAAAAGTGTTTAAGCTATTCAATGCCTACCACTACGGTTGTAATAGCAAATTACGCTGATGAGAACGTAAGAATTTGCAAAAATGCATCTAAGTATTCACATCATACATCACAATGATATAAATAAAAAAATTATTAAATATTTAACACGAGATCTACTCAGATTTTTAAAAATAAGTATTTTTTTATAAAGCAAAAGAAATTTAATTCAACAACATATCGATTACATTTTAATCAGTGATTTCGTACTTTATTTTCAATGAGGTATTTAAAAATAAAAAGAAAGCACCAAAAAGCAACTCCACTAGATGGCGACCCTAGCAAAAGTTGATTTTTGCAGGAAACGAATGGACCAAAGATAGTTATTTCCATTCCTTTTAAGTAACATATTAAAAAACTGAAATTTGCAAAGTTCGAAACTTAGATATCAATACAAATACGAAAAATTTCAAATAGAATATGAGTTATTTATTGAGTTTTGAAAACTAATTTACTTTTATACATGAAAGAAAACCGGAATTGTCATGGAATAATCAAAAAGTACAGTAGCGACATCTAGTTTAATTTCGGGAACTAATTTTTTTAATACTTCCTCATTTCACTAGTACATAATGAGAAAATAGTACTACGGTTCTAACGCCAAGAATACATTTTATTATTATCATCATACGGAACTCGCATTAAGTCACTATAACAATATGCTACTATATAAATTAATAAAGATATTATTACAATGAATTATTGAGACTCGTGAGTTTCTATTCAATTAGTGGTTACGAAGATGATAATGTTATTTTAATATAATACTCGTAGAATAAAATATCGTGGATCGGATCAAAGAATTCTAAATGAACTGATAAATTAATATTGTTGGTCGTTTTCCTTGTCGAAGGCATCAAACTCGACATATCTATGTCAGTTTTAATGATAGTTTGTGTTGGTTTTTCCGTGTTATTAACATAACCGCAAATTAATGGGTAAATATTTTTTTTAATTTGTTTTCGTTGGAACATCTTTTAGGTCAGAATTACCGCGAAAGCAACGTAATATATAATATGGTATGTACCAGTATACATACCTATATGGACTTTTTTTCTTGGCCTTCAAGTGTAATCTTTAAACAAGCTTTTTAATAAGAATATTATATCATTATATTATTTGTACTATGACAATACTTTTTAATTTGTGTTAAATTCGATGTGAATTTGATATTATGTTGTTTTAAACTTTCATAGTTATTAACACGTTATTAACATCAGAATGATTGCTAAAAACGGGATTGCTATTATGTACCTCATATTTTACGAATTCCCGATATTATTCCCGAGATTCACCACTAACTTGCACTTGTTAGTGGGTATTAGGTCTCAAATCAGTCAAATATTACGCGATGGTTGATTTTTGTGTGTTATTCAAATAGTAATCCTTGACTGCTTTGATGTGTTCAAAGCATATTTATAGCATGTATTGCTTAGGCAATATACGAACTAACACAACTGCAGTCAATTTTAATTATAGTTAAATTATTAGTTTGTAAAACAATTTTGGGCTATTAGAATATATCATATCATCGAACTTTGAGATTGAGCAGTTCTTAATCATCCATTGTATCACAATTTGCAAGTCTCGAACAATAAAAAAGTAAATAAACAAAAGATAAAGACTCCATGAGTAAGAAGTTTTTACAATATTCACCTCTTTTAAGACACCATCCAGATGCGAGGTATAATCAAACTTGTATTTCGGCAGCGTGACTTCCACCAGACGCTCGTGCAGGGTGTCCATCTCTGGCCGGAGAGTGCTAATACCCTCCATTACCATATTCAAGCCCGTCAATGAATTAGGCACTATCACGTACATAGCATATTTGTTTCCCTGCAAAATAATTTGCCAATATCAATAATAACATTCTCCTGGGGATGTCATAGCAAGCTGTTGCTGCTGCACTACATTTTTACTAGAATCCTATAACGAATAAAAGGTTATTACTTAAAATAACATACTCAACTAACCAAACTTACACTATAAATGTACCTATAATTTATTTATGTGTACTTATGCACTAAATCATGTATTTTAATCTGCACTTACACCCGGTTTCTGAATTGAGAATTTAAAGTTAAACACTTTTCTGTACTTAAACGGGTTCGCGTTTCTGATTTAAGTCTTTTTTTTAATGATATTTTATTTTGCATAGAATAGACTTCGGAACTACTTAAAAATTAAAAAAACAATTAAATTAAAAAAACAGCTTAAAAAAACAGCTACATCATACATACATAGGCTATAATTTCCGCAGGCGAAATCGCGGTAGAACAGGTAGTTTATAATAATAACACTATCAACTTACAAGGTACGGCATTCTCAGTATCTTGGCGTCGAATTTACTCGATTCCGCATAATAGAATTTGTCTTTCACACGCATAAATTGTACTGGTTTCGGAGTGTTTGGTGTGGTGTAAAACATTCCTTCTTTGGTCGCGTTAGGGTCGAACTGGTGACGCCAGCTGCCCTTGAAGTATAATGTGTTGAGAATCATCACCACCATGCTGGCTAAGTCATCTGAAAATGTTATACCTCCATTACTATATTTGGCCAATTTTGCATTCACTATTATCATCATCAGCCCTTTTACGTCCCCACCGCAGGGGCTCAGGCCACCCTTATGGATGGTAAAGGAGGATGGGTCATGACCCTCCACGCTGGCCCAATGCGGATTGAAGGGTATTAACGACTATAAATACAGCCGGGACCAACGGCTTAACGTGCCTTCCGAAGCATGGAGTAGCTCGAGATAATAATTTTTTGGTCACCCATCCCATGACCGACCGTTGCGAAATTTGCTTAACGACAACGATCGCTTGCCGCGGCGCTTATCCACTACGCCACTGAGCTACTCCACATTCACAATGTTATATATTTATTTATCCTAAGCACCTGGAAGTTGCCCAAAATTCAATTCGAACCTATAACTTCATTATTATATTTTTGAGACAAAAATATTTGACAATGATACTTAACCTACGCCATTAAATAGTTATTCAGGTTAAAGATTCTCTTTAGCGTAGAACGTTGATATTAAAATATCGTAACTAATTGAATGAATTATTAAGTGAACTTACCCGGATTTACCAGATTGTTGATTCTTCCTTGCGTGGTGTTCGCTACCCAGGCGTTGATGGATGCGGCTGCTGCAACTGGATTATGGAAGTTGATAGATGTCAACTCAGTTTTGTAGAACTGTTGGGCAATAGCTGCGAATCGCTGTCTTGGTTGAGCTGTGTCTTCCACATAGATCCTGCTGCCTAAGTTAAGGATGTATTGAGGCGATTGTTTCTGCAACATAAATTGCTGTTCATTTTATTTAGGCCTTTTTCAAAATTACAACACGTACGATTTAAAAGTGATAAGTTCGTAGCAGGCATGGCATGACTAACATTAGGAAACCACACATTCTGTGACCATCGTTACACTTCAGAAAATTTCCACATAACCTCGATGAATTCAACACTTGAAACTTCATCATGAAGTACCGTCTATTTCGAATTCTGCCCACAACTGCATGGTCTTAGAAACAGTTTTCGCTAGTTATATTTTAGTGAATCTACTTATCCATCTTTTTAGGCATGGATAATTGTAGTATAGTAGATAAGTACATTTGAAATCTTGAGCACCTATGTATATATATAATATAGTAAGTATGCAATACGATGGTGATGGAGAATTCGACGACGCAGTGGTAAGTGCGCTCGGTCTGCGATACGATTGTTAGCAACTTTCGAAAAGGGTCGGTCATAGGATGAGTTACCAAAAATCTATCAACTCAAACTCCTCCGTGCTCCGGAAGGCACGTTAATTCGTTGGTCCCAGCTGCGTCCGCAGTCGTTAAGACCCGTTAAGGTACTTCTTAATCGATATGATTCGATACCACCCTCAGAGAAGCACATATATAGGCTGGTTATGACGATAGAGCTGATAAAAACGTACCTGCAAAGATTCCACTATGGTGGAAAACTTCCTTCTGACGGCGTGTCTGTCCATCTCGAAACCAAGTACCGAAGAGAGCTCCGACTTGGTCAAGCCAGTCGCTGCCTCAGCTAGGATCGCGAGGGCCAACTTCAGACCCAACGGTGACACCAAGAAGTTAACATTTGAGTTGGAAGCTACACGCTGTAAATAATAAGGAAATCAGTTATTTCCAGAATTTCTCGTAAACTCGTGAAAGAACAATATCTCTGGCTGTTAATAAATTATTATAAAATAAATTAGAGTAACATCACTACTCTTCTCTCCTCCCTTTGAGCTGACTGCTGTGATGAGTGATAAAATAAATACAATTTTTAATAAAAAGCCAAAATTGGATCAACAGCAAGATAGATCCTGGTAATATTCATATATTATCATTAATCATATAAGACAGCAGACAATTTTGATAGATATTCATTATTATTCGGCCAATTCACACTAACACGGAGCACATTATCTATTTAAAATCAGATAATGTGAATGAGCGATAATCCACTAAGCGAACTTGTATGTTTATTGCTAATAACTTGTGTATTTATGGCAAACGGTTTACGGTATTTTTGGCCACTCGATTACTGGTTTTTGAAAGTTCTTTCACCTCAATATTTGCAGTGCGAACACTCCGCTGCATCAAAATATCTGTTTCTTGTACTTATTATAAATAACTTTTTAAAATGTCTGTAGTATGCACTGTGATAGTTTAAGACTTTTTGTTTAAGAAAGAACGTTAAATTTCGTCCAGGGTGCATCTGCAGTCGTTAATACCCACCCATCTCCACTAGCCTGGTGGGTCATGGCCCATTCTCCTATTTGATTTGATTTCATCCATAGGGAAGGGCCACAACAATGAGAAAATTAATAGGTTAATGACAATTATTTTTCAAGAAACAGGTTCATCTGATGAGATGAACTCTCAACGTGAAGTTATTCAAATTCACGTCATACTTGTGTGAGCTTAGTAGCGTCAACTTTATTTTATATATCTTTGAAAAACTTTATCATATAATTCGTCATCACTATTGATTATAACAGTTCAAAATAGTGAACCAATAATTTGAACAACTTCCTGATTAACTACCTTTGTGAGAGTCCAGTCGAACCTATCGTAGTCCGCAACAGCAGCTGCGGGAAGCTCGTCTACATCCCAGTAATCAGGATCTGTCAGAGTCGAGTTGACTGGCTGGACTGGTACAACTTGACTGAGAGGCACCTGTTCTGATGCAGCTGCATAATACTGCGGGTACCCAAACACATTGCGAAGTGTTTCTGGGTCGATGGAACCAGTATTGCAGAAGACGCAGGGAGCTGTGAATCAAATTGGTATAATTAGATCCTGATTGCTGTACGGGTCATATTATGTACTTGCAGTGATCGAGGTGGGATGGTGTAACATAATACTTAATTAATATTGTGGAGTTCTTTTAAATGCCGTAAAATATTTCACAACGATTCTTTTCCAGTGGCAAGAGAAAAGCTATATTGGTGGAGGGGAAATTTATTCAAAAGTTGATTTAATACTGTATGTATGATGTTGTTAATAAAAAACTCGTCTTTGTCTTCAAATATAACTAAAATTATACTACAAACTTTTTGCGTAATTTAGGAGGAGTTAAAAGTCTAATAGTTACATGGAAAGCAAAGATGAAATCTCTACATAGATTTCTTATATTTTCATCGCACTATGCATAAATAAAACAAATTTTTAAACGGTTTCATCCTGTTTGTGTTTAGTTTTATTGACGTTTCGGACCCTTTACATGTTCCGTGTTCACATAAGACTAAGGTGTTGATTGTCTTTTTAATTAAAACTAAATAAAACACGATGAAACCATTTAAAAGTTGTTTATGATGTATTTTGATTAAATATTTAATTTGACCGAGTTAATTAAGATAACAGTATCTTATTAACTCGGTCAGATTAAATAAAATAAAAAATAATTACATATTAAACTGTAAATTTTGCTGATATTGTGGCTCCCGGAAGCTTTCATGGAATTCACAGTGGAACTAGACTGATCAGTAAAAATATATATAATTGTTTATATTATTATATATAGAATTAAAAACTAACGCATAGTTTCATCAGAACTCAACACATGGAAGGAATATCAACTCCATCTATGTGTTCAGCTTACGGGACTGGATCATAAGAATTATACATATCTATTATGGAAATCAAGAACAGACGTTATGAATAATCAATACTTATTGATCCTAGTACATAATAATAGCGCGCACATTTGATTTTCAATCATTTGTACTTGAATTTTAATCAATAACCAAAATCCAACGATCGTCAGCCAACATGCGTCTCGTTGTATTTGGTCAGGGTTATTTAATTCTTTCGGGGTGTAATGCTAGCGAAGGATGCTTCGCACCTCGTGGACAGCGTATCGAACAAACATCTCGATTTAAAGGGAACCCAAGCTAGATTCACAGCAATATGTCACTTCAGTGTGCCTCCGTAGAGTACTACAATACTTTGGTCATGTAGCACGCCGATGTATAGACGACTTGGAAAAGCCCATAATAACCGGCAATGTGGCGAACAACTAAGAGAACGTAGTCCTAGACAATGGTCTGATCAGGTGTCCGATGAACCATAAAACTGAATTTTAGTTTTGTTTAATTAAATAATGAAAAATTCAAATTAAGATATGCTAATATTTTACTATAAATTTTACTATAAAATCGTATTAAATCCATAACAATATTATGACCATTACAATAAGTTCTCTTAAAAGGTTCTGATAAGGGCTTATATCGTCACAACACGAGTCTCGTGCAATTAAAATATGATTAGAGACTGTCAGTGAAATCTAAATAATCCGACTTGGTATCTCGTTCACCTTATTGACCTTTCAATGCGACAACGTCAATGAATCAACTTCATATATTAACACGCCAACCACAAATCACTTTGACGGGTAGGTAATCGAAAACTTTTGATGGACTAGTTAATTTACTACTCATTTTTCCGTTAGCTATTGTTATTTGTCAAACATAGGTTTTACCCACAAACTGACAATTGAAACAGCAATGTTTTGTTACATTTTCATTATTGTTGGCCGGAAATTGTTCGTGGTTTTGAGGACATTGTCCATGATTCTGATAATTATATCATTGTTTGGTTTCGTGTGTAATAACAACTTTATTTTCATAACAAGGATGTTAATACATATGTAATATATGTGAATTACAGCCGGGCTTTTAAGAAAGACTTGCATTGGTGCTGAAGTTTCGGGGTATATTATTTATAAGTTTTCAAAAACAAAATTCAGGACTTTCTCACTCAAGCTAAATATATTTTTCTATTTATGATTTCATATTGTATAGAAATACAAAGATAAATATAATATTTATATTAGTTTTATAAAACCAAAAGGCAATAAAAATACTGTTGATACGAAACAAAGCGATACTAAGTATAGTCAATCTGTTAACCAAAAGGTTCATAAAAATTTATTGAGAACCATAGCTGTTTTAACATCAAAACTAGTAATACCAGTTTGCCTCTACAAATACATTATTTTAAAAAACCTCTATTTTTAAATATGAATGTGTGGGGAAAATCCAAGAATCGTTATTGAATCTAAAACTAATAAGTACAACAATAAATTGTCTTGTAAATATATCATTAAACTTTGATTGGAAATACCCTTAACTACGTTAAGCAATTTATATTTATCTGCAACGAGTTTCAAATTTAATTTATATTAATTAAATCTTCCATCATGTAGAGAAAATGCAGATTCAAATAATTATAATCTAAAACGTACAAATTAATCAACAATAAAAATAAACTTACCGACAAAAAGTAAGAAAAAAATTCTTAAAATCATCATCGCTAACAAACAAGGAAAACACACAAGAATAGGTAACCAACTGAGTTCAAGGCAACCGAGATCCGGTCCTTTGCTTAACAAATGTCCAAGGCATGTATCGAACGGACACTCAAGTAAATTCAAATTTGTTTAATTTGATTGTTTCTATATTATTGTCTTTATTATATCATCTTCTCTAAACGCGTGTGCACGGGTCGTCGGTTTGTGCTAAACTAAATGATGAGTTCACGATTCAGTGAACAGTTTACCGTAATTGTAGAAGGTCTGTATGACCGGTTTAAGCCCGCGACATTTTAAACAACAATTTGCATACTTATTAATATTTGCCAAACAGCTTTCTTCAGTGGAATAGTAGTTTCACGATTTGTTACGATCATTTCTTTCAAGATGTCTCAAGTACCTTATAATCTCACAAATATTTACGTCTGATTTAAACCTACGAGCAGGCGTCTTACTAAGAAGACGCCGTGACGCAACGCAGCTCCAACGAATTTCTCAGGCTCTCCTTACTCAGAGATGCCCTTCAACTAGAAAACGATCAAAGTGAAGGAACCATTACCGACATGAGGTTTCAAAGGATTTTACCAACCCAAACTTTAGTTCCACTGTAACAGTGTTATTAATAAACAAGGTTTACCGTTGGAACAAATTTAAGCTGAGACTACACTTAGTATTAGTCAAAATTCATATTAATAAACAGAGACTTTAGCAAAGGTTAACCTAGTGCGAGGTTCTACGGGAGTAATATTTACTCCTAGAAGGTAGTAGGTTTGCTTATTCTCTGTATAATATGAATTTGGACTAATATTAAAATCGCAATTTTAGCATAAATTTACTAACGTTAAACCTTGTTTATTAAAGCACTGTATAGGTATTGCCTTTAAGATTCAGCGCCCCGGCTCCGCCAGATATGCCGCCCCAGAAATTAATGGAATGCTAAACAGGGAAGGATTCTTATTGAAAAATGATAATAAAAATCCTTCAAAAATATTTTTCACTATAGCATATAATAATTAGATAAAAATAGGATCTTTATTGAAAGTTTAAATATTTGTAAACATATTTCTTTCGGCTTTCGTTTGGGTGGTTTGCCTGAACATTGATGCAAATACGCTACGTAGTAGCGAAAAAGTAACGAGTGGTTGAAAATTCGTCAATCCTGTTAGGTCCTGGATAGCTCAGCGGTTAGAGCGGTCACCCGGATTGCGAAAGGTCGTGGGTTCGAATCCCATCTGAGAGTACCAAGCATAAAGTGGATTTTTAAAGTATTTTTCATTAAGAAAGATCGTTTACCACTATATCCCAGAGCAGGGTGCAGCTATATTAGTATCAAAAGTGAAATAAAATCGAGCAGTATTTATGCAACCGCGATATAAAAACCACGATATTGTAGACCGAAGGCTAATGACTACGCCATCGAGCATCTTCAATCCGGGACAAAAAAGCACCTCAAAACACAGAAAAGGGATTCTGTATGCCTACTCCATTTGACTGCCTTTGAAAATGTATTTAGGCACTTCGTAATAGTCTATATTTCATTACAGTGAATTTTTTTGCTAGAAAAATATACAATTCGTTTTGGATAAATATTTTCATTACCATCAATGAAAATTCACATATTGTGTAACTGACTTTATAATTTTGTCTAGGTGTGACAATTACATTTAGCCCGCGCCGCGTGGCGCCAAGCGCAGATAGGTAGTCAAATCAATTTCCTACATTTGCCCGATATGCGGGTATATTCAGCCCCATATAAAAAAATTAAGCGACGGTCGCGGGGCGGACGTACTAAATATAAATGAGTCTTTACGTAAAATAAAAAAGTCCCCTGCTCTTCCGTCTGCTGAAGGCTAAAAAGTTAAGAACTATCAGCGGGCTATCACGCGGTTTTCACCGATGTGTGAACAATAAATGCATGAGGAAGGTTTTTTATGACTATAATTTTTGAAGATGACATAAAAGAGACAATGAATATGTATACTTAAGCAAATAGGTGTATTTTAATGCTTATTTCCTTTAGATTGCAATATTTGCAAAGAGAATTCCCTGTTTCTGTCATATCTAATGGACAATATGACATAATGTGAAGAATTTTATTTGAAAATCTTGAATTCCTTTTTCAATGACGACTCTGTTTAAAACAGTACTATAGATAGGGAAAATCATTTACCGCTGAATTCGTCATTAGTTCTTTTCAGTTTAAATTCTCCCACAAAAGATTTACGGACTCGCACAAGTAAATAAATAATATAAGACAACATCACATACATTGCTCAAATCCCAAATTAAGTAGCTAAATCGCTTGTGTTATGGAATACTGATAAAATTAAAGTAACACAACCCTATGACTATACAGAAAAGTTCATTTTCTACATCGATCCGGCCAGTACCAGATCTGAGACATCTTGAAATCGGCGAGCGCGCCACTCGGCCATATCAAATGCTTATAAACGCTTTTAAAAAGTTTCATTAGCAAAATATATTAGGAAAGCCCATTAGATCCTGACTTACTACATTTTAACCAGAACCTAATTATAAAGTGGATACGCAATCGATGAATAGCCTTATTATATTTAGATTACAAAAGCGTACTTCATTACAAAAAACATATTGACGTATCAACAGTGATATAAGATCTTGTTATTTATGTATGTATTTACGATGCAATGTAAGTAAAACCTAACACTGCCTCTGATGGACAGATATCTCACGAATATTATTTTATCAAAATTATAAGAACGATTATAAGACGTATTTTCCGATTTTTCTTTCGAGGATAAACAGAATACGCACGCAAGTGTTTAATTACCTATACTTATTTTTTGTAGTCAATTAAATTTTTGAAACTAAAATTCAATTGACTTGATAAAGATTCTCTGCATTTCTATAGGTTAAACGGACAAAATTGTGGTCTGAAGCTAGTCAGACATAAAAACGAAATCCATTGGGAATTACCCACATTAATATTGAATTGAAACAAGTATTTCAAAGTTGAATCTCCATGTGCTATGTACATAAACGTGCAAAAAAGGGTCAACAGATACCGTGGTATTTTATATTTCCTAGAATTGTTGAATGAATATCAATTCTAATAATAAGTGAGATATGTAGTTGTGAGGAGATGGGATGCTGGATGGTGCAGTGGTTAGCGCACTCGGTTTGCGATGCGGAAGAACCAGACCAGTCCAGTCAAAGGATGGGTGACCAAAAATTAATAATACGAGCTCCATCTGCGATCGTTAACACCCACACCTGCACTGGGCTCGCGCATTGAGTATTCGCTGGGTGTGAAGTGGGAGGTAGGGACACCACGAAACGATCACAGCGCACACCGTCGTGAAAAAAGGAACTGCGGTTGGACGAACTGTTACTTTTAACTAGATAAATTATCGTATATGTGCATTTTAAGATAAAATAAATAAGCATGCGTCACGAAACAAGCTGCGTAATCAATGGCAAAAAGCAGTGATCGTTGTCGAGAGGATAATGCAATGGCTAAGGCTATATTAAACATTAATTTAAATTCCTCAAAACTCGTTTTGCCGTATTGATAATATTTTGTATATTTAATGTGTATTAGGAAATGAGCAGTCCTCATTATTTTTGTATAAATAAGCCACTGTATGTTTTATGAATATTTTCTAGATCTCATAATAATTCCAAGAATAAAAGTGAAATAAAAATTTCATGACGCAGTAATTTTATTTATAGACATCTCATTCTCTTTATATATCTTGCAGATAATTTAACACCAAAATAATAAAGTAAGAATTTATTTTAAAGATTTCTCCTTACGATAGTACGGTACATACGATTACAAATTCTTATAAAAGATATTAAGTGTGTGTTAACCCCGATAATAAAAATATTATCGCCTGCCATTTTTGCCGGAATCCGAAACAAAAACCAACAATGATAGTATAAATACTAAGAAAAGTGTTTTACCCTATTATAATTAAAATAATGAAATGAGTTAAACACATTACATCTTTTTACATTTCCAACTAGTTAAGCCAAAACCAATTATTACTTTTATGTAAATACAAATATTTACTTTTATGTTTGTTTGTGGTTGCGATGTTGTGTGCGAGTGTTCTGAATTCAATATATGATATTGATAAATGGTCTACTCTACACCATCATAAACCTACACGAGTACTCGAGGGCACAAATTTCGCAAGGGAAATAGGATGGGAGGCCAAAAATTGATTATCTCAAGCTCTTCCGTGCTCTTCGGAAGGCACGTTAAGCCGTTGCTCGCGGCTGCATCTGCTGTCGCTAACACCCACCACTCCGCACTCAGCCCGGCATGGCTCATTATATCTGTTCGTTCCCATCAATAAGGAAGGCCTGAACCCAAGTAATGGGGACATTAATGGGCTGATGAAGACGATCGTATACATTGCTCGAACCCCATGTAGCTAAAGCCGTATATTATGTAAAAAAGGGGAAACGAATTTACCACAACCGAGATGAAGAAAGAAACACGAAAGAAAACGAGCTAATGGAAGAACTATGGGATGGTATAAAATTTGAAACCCAGTTAAGTATGCCACACCCATTATACGTGCGTTACCCATAAGCATACAGAATAAGTAATGACTTAAACCCACTTGCTAAACGGTTAGGAAAAAACTATTAACGGAAATACCGAAACAAACAGGTAAAATGTCTTTGAAGAATCGATTTAAAGATCATTCACAGGAACATGGTTGATTTAAAGTTTTGTGTTTTGTTTAATCAAGGACTATTATTATAATGTAAAATATTTACTGTGCTTCACTTTTTCTTATAAATTCCCCTCATTAAAGTCGGCAAACATAATCGGTTGCCTACTTTTTTTTTAGGCTAACTATAAGGTACCCTTGTACAGTTAGGTTATAAATATATTTGAAGTCTTATTACGTTGAGGATGAAATTTAAAATATTTTGCGATTTGACATATTATTCTAACCTAATGTGTACGACAGTTAGGATTTGACAATATGTCTTCATTTGTTCTATAAAATATCTTCTATTTAGGAAAATTATGTTTCTTCGCTTGTCGAGAGAACATCTCAGTTAATATAACGCTAGATTTTTATGAATAACTGACGAGGGGAATTGATTAAAAAGAATAACATATACATTATTTTACAGTGATGAACCCCGATTCAACTGGGCAATCCAGTTCAAAATCTACGTGCTATCTAAATTATATAGTACTAGCTTTCGCCAGCAGCTTCGCACG